AAAAAAAAAATTAGCATTACTTTTCCAGTAGTTTGAACAGTGACCACAACTGTCCTTTGGTCCAGCTTGTTACTGGCTTTTAAGGCAACCCCAATATGTTGTAGGTGTCGAGTTGCAGGTTGGTGGCATCTCTTTGCCACGGCTCTATCATGTAATTTAAACGGTAGTAATGGGCCAACAAGCAAATAGGAGTGGCTTTTGTTTGTTTTCTTTATTTTCAAAAACAAATGATTCCCTGTAGTGTCTTGGAGAAAAAAAAAAATCAAAAGTCAGTACCAAGTGGTCTTTGGCATTTAATGCTTGAACCTTTATGATCCCATTTTTGTTACCCTGCAGGCGTTAGCTTTTATTTCTCCTTTTCCTGGACACTCACTTGATAACACTAATCTTGTACTCCAGGACCAGTTTCCATGTGGGAAAAATGTTAATGTAGGATTAGGATTTGCCTTGTGGTGGATCTAGCCCCTGCCTCTTGGCAGCGGTCACAGCCTGATCCTTCAGAGAACAGTGGGAAAACCTGTAATGCTCCCAGAGCCTGATCAAAATCAGTGACTTTTATAGGAATCTTCTCTTGACTTCAGTGGATCAAACCTTAATCAATTCCAAGTATCTTAGATATGGAAGTGTCCAAATCTGTAATAGCCACAGGCTGTAAAATTGGACATTTTTCCACACACCTAGCCAGTGAAGTGCCACACTGATTAATGTGCATCTACACTAGCTGTTGGCATGCAAATATAATGCAGGCAATTGCATACATTAATTTAAAACCCTGGGCTCTGCTTCCAGGGGAGAGTACTGGCACCTATAAAAGCTAAACAAATTCCACATCCATCTAGAACATTGTGAATAATAACTGCACCTAAGCAAGTTTGGAGGACAGCCTCATATACTTTATAGTTCATAAAAAAGTTAAGCACAAAGAGGTGAAAAACTTAACATCCAGCTGTCTTGCGTTTGTTAGTGTTGATGTTTCCATACCAAGCACTGATCACAGTATAAACAGAGATGCAGGCATCCACATCCAATTTCACTTCTGCTCTTGTAAATACTTGAGCTGTTAGTATATAAAAAGCACCGTTTTCATTGCAAGAAAGTGCACCCCTCGTTCAACCCAGTAGAAATTGGGTGTCTTGAATAAAAGACTATTATGTGTGCATTAGTGTACGCTAAAATAAAGCAGTTAGTAGCTAAGAAGAAAACATGGACACTTTCTTCCCAGGTGTTTGAATCCTTAAGCAAAAACAGTTCTACAGAGCTTTATCTGAAGTGCGCAAACTTGGTCTGTAAAACTGGTTGTGGAGAACCTGTTCAAGCTGTGAATAACTCAGGACCCACACCTATGATTTCCCAACACTATTTTTTTTTCATACTTCCCTGAGAAGCTTACTTCCAGGTATACCTTTGCCATGTCGCTTTAAAAGCAAAAGGCTAAATTCTGTCCTGTTACCATACGTATGTCAAAAAAGCAAAGACAACAGAGGAGACTTCTAAAGGAATAAAGTTGATAGCTCTTTGCTATTTTATACCTAGTTCCTGGCACTTGTGCCTGTGTTTAAAATAAGGAATGTGAAGAATATCATTCATATCTTCAACTTCAAAAAATACAGACCTGTTGGCAGGATGGAGGCCCCCACTTGGTGCTTTATAGGATTAAAAATGTAATTTACCTACTACCTGGATAAAGTGTCGTGGTTATTACAGTTACATGTTCGTTCAGTTTATGTTGTTCTCAACATAAAAGCAATTATCTGATTAAAATTGACCTCTAGTCTGTAACCATGTTTTAAATTGCCGGTTACAATGGGGAAAGTCATTCTCTACTCTTTGCTTTTAATCTGTTTTGAGCTGCTGTGTTTGACAACACAATCTTCACTTACCAGCTTTTGTTGTTCCAAATTACTTTACACCAAAAATTTCACTTATAGTGAGCCTTGTTTTTCACATTTTGTGATTTTTGTCTTAAAATGCAGCCGTGCTTGTGTTTCTGAGGTACAACAAAGTTACTGCAAATAGGCTTCCATTGATAACTCTTTAAACACTATGTGGTAATGATTTTTTTTTTTTTATATTTGCTTGTCTGGAATATTTTGTCAGTGCATGGTGCAGTTACATGAGTTTTGTAAATCGTTGTCAAACTTCTGAAGACTTTTATATCAGTTGATGTGAATTAGTCTAGACGCTTGAGTGACAAAGAAGTCAATGGAACGATTTGCCAGCCTATAGCTAGACTGAGTACTCTTATTTAAATGCCATTGCTGTGCAATGAATAGTATCATAAGGCCAGATCGTTCAACTGGGCATTGCCTTGCAGTCGAGTTAATACCATGGTGGTGTCTGCGTGCATGACTACTGCTTCGTGAAAATTTGAATTGGACTGTCTGAAATGCTAGCTATCCCTAAATGAATTTCTTCTGCTTTAAGAGATCAGAAACTTTTTAGCTCCTTCTGATTCACAGTCTTCTAAAATTGCCTCTTATACTGGCTTCCTGGCAGTATCTGCTGCCTAACTACTGACCGAAAACACTAGATGACTCCCACGTGTTAATGTTTCTGCAGTGGCCTTCATTTCAGAGTGGGTGAAGTTTGACAACTTAGTGCATGCATGATGCTTCAAGTACTCGCAGAGCTGACTACTCAACGCATGTATTTGCCAGTGCGCATATGGGAAACAGACTCAGCCTGCTGGAAAATATGGCGCATATTCTAGTTATGGAGCATTTACTAGAATTCAGTACCCGATTTAATGTTCCAGTTAAGTATTTGAAATGGGTAAGTACTAAATCCCAAAAGTGCATCTTTCCTACAGCATGTTGAAGCACACTTCAAATACAGTTGGCAAATGTCATCAGAAATGTCTTATTCTGTCACAGTAGGACTCTTCAACCTCTAATGGACAGACTGTTTTCAAGGGGGTTTTCTGTTTGTCGTCTTTTTATTTTA